CCACCACACGGAACCCCTGAACCAGACTGGGGTTCTGACACCCACCAGCACAGAAAGGGACGGGGAAAGGAATGACTCAAAGTCTGGACAGGCTACGAGTGTTACAGGAAGACACCCAAGATTTCTTTCAATCTGTGTTGGACAGGGGAGGAAGGTTCCTCCATCTTTCAGTGTCGCTGTGTTTTGGCGCGCGATTTGTGACATTTTTGTGGGAGTTGTAACCCAAATCCAATTATCTGGGTGGATTTATCTCACCAAAGGCAGATCGTTCTATGATGGATCCCTGTTAGAGGGTTACAGTCTATAGAATCCTGTATATGGATATCATGGAATTTCCACCTAAAGTAGGTACTCAAAATGGTATCCAAAAATTGCATCCAAAAATATCCACAATCACAAAATCCCAGAATGGTTTGGGTTGGAAGGAACCTTAATGGTCATCTCATTCCATCTCCCAGACAGGGACACCTTCCCCTATCCCAGGTTGCTCCAAGCTCCATCCAACCTGGCCTTGGACACTTCCAGGGATGGAACATCCACAGCTTCTCTGGGAAGCCTGTTTCCTCCCAAAGCCTTTTCAAAAAATACTTCCTGCTGGCACCCTATGGCATGACAGAGACACCCAGGACCATTTACACTTGCTGGTGTCCCTGAGATATGCTCAAGTGTGGCAGATAAGATGCAGGGCCTTCAGGAGACCCAGGACCTCATGGATGGATGGGCAGATGCTCTGCAGCTCATCAAGTGGCATTGGAATCTCAGATTACAGCAAATGGATCCATTTTTGCTCTCTATTTTTTGCAATAGATTCAGGCATCTAAATTTGGGTGCCTCAAATGGAGAAATCTGCATATACATAATCTCCTATTATAAATTAATTTATGTAAAGGGAGATCAACAAAAAGCTGAGATGGAAGAGCTCTTTGGATGAGACTCCATCTCTCACGTAAGACAGAGCACATTTTCTAGGGTAACTCACACCAAGGCCGGCCTCACCCTTCAGGAATTCAGCACTTCTCCCATGTGCTGTCTCCACTCCTCTTACAATGTGGAGTCCATCAGACACATGCCNAAGTGTGGCAGATAAGATGCAGGGCCTTCAGGAGACCCAGGACCTCATGGATGGATGGGCAGATGCTCTGCAGCTCATCAAGTGGCATTGGAATCCCAGGGTGCAGCAAATGGATCCATTCTTGCTCCCTATTTTTTGCAATAGATTCAGGCATCTAAATTTGGGTGTCTCCAATTAAGAAGTCTGCATACATATAATTTGCTATTATAAATTAATTTATGTAAAGGGAGATCAACAAAAAGCTGAGATGGAAGAGCTCTTTGGATGAGACTCCATCTCTCATGTAAGACAGAGCACATTTTCTAGGGTAACTCACACCAAGGCCGGCCTCACCCTTCAGGAATTCAGCACTTCTCCCATGTGCTGTCTCCACTCCTCTTACAATGTGGAGTCCATCAGACACATGCCAATTCCCTCCACAAGGTACAAGGTGCCAGCCAGGCTGGTGAAACCACTGAGGATCCTGTTTTGTCTTGGTGGCAAACAGCTCAACTTGACTTGGCCTGCAGGCACAGAGGACTCAGCTCAGCCCCATTATCTTGCCACCATCAGAGATTAGCAGCACAACCTCTGCCAGTGCCCAGAGGCTCGTTAAGAGCTGGTAATTTAAAATTGCTGCTGAGTGAGCTCTGCTATGGTTCTGGTGTCTGTACAAAGTACCCATTTCCAGACTATTAGGCTTTTCACTTCAGCTGATATAAACTCTCTCTTAAAAAAAACCTCCTACTTGATCAGAATTCATCTTTAAAATATTAGCAGGCAAGGGATAGAAAAACTCTGGTGTAGTTCTCAGTATCATTAACAACCAGTAATTTTTAAGTAAAAATATAGTTCATACTGCTCCAGAAAGTCTGTAATATGCGTTAATTCTGGCAACAGATGCTGAGAATTTATTTGCCTGCTTGACGAGACGTTTCACTTTGAAAAGAATTATTGCAGCAGAAACATTCTGTAGGAAGAAAGCCCTTTATCATGAGCACAGTCTGCTCAGTCAAAAGCATTTCTTTTCCAGCGGAGAGCAGTGGGATGGAGCTGCTTTCTGTCATCCTGTATTTTTGCTGTTTTTCTGAGGATTGAAAAAGCAGCAGTACTGCTACAGATACATGAATTGCCACATTCTGTGCAATTAAAGGGAATTAAGTGGATTTGTGGTGATGTTTATCAGACCAGAGCCTGCCCCAGGGTTTCTAATGTTTAATTGTAACTCTAAGTCATGGTTGAAGAAACGTGTAAATATAAAAATAACACTTTTGAGAAGATTTGCTATTCAGAAATGTTTCATTCCTTCCCAACAGAAAACTACACTGTACTCGAAATTACATTCACATGCACCTCTTCATGTCCTTCATCATGAGAGCCATCGCAGTCTTCATCAAGGATGTCATCCTGTTTGAAAGTGGGGAGTCTGAGCACTGCTTCATGAGTTCAGTAAGTAGCCTCAAAATTTCCACCTCATTTTGTTGCCCCTCTTAAGCAATTCACCAAAATTGCCCTGCAAATGCATGTGATGTGGTACTTTGGGAAGATTTCAAATCCTTTTCTCATTTGAAAGGAAAAAAAAAAATCCATGATTGCTGCCATTTGACTTATATGGAGAAGGAAAAAATTGATTATCAGACTCTGATAATCAATTTATATACATTTTATATATGGTCCTTTGCATATAAAGAGTCCTATATATTTTATATATGTTCCTTATATATAAAATGTATATATATTTTTATATCTGGTCCTTTCTGAAGCTGGACTTAAGGGTCTTAGAGGTGTTTTCAAACCTTAAGGATTTTATCAGAACAAACCCACAAGTGAGGTTGTACAGGATTTTGGGGCTGCTGTGAGTCCTGTGTCCATCTCCCAGCCACATGCTCATTTCTTGGATATCCTGGTCAAAGGAGGTTTGTGTTTAGGGTTTCAATAAAACCTTTTCCTTCCACAAGGATGGGAGTTAGATCCAAATTTACATAACTAATTTTAGTTATCTGTGGGGTAAGTACTTACACAAGAGCTGTGTGTGTTACATGCATCCATAGATAGTGGGCTCTAATTAATCTAATTAATCTGCTCCCTGGAGTCTGGAATGCTGTTCAACCCTCTGGGAGAAGGCACCTGCATGTGGGTGATTCTCTGGGCTCCAGTGACCAGATCCCTGCAGGACTTCAGGCAGGAAATCTATGTGCAGACATCATCATCCATTTTTCATCTGAATCAGTGTCCCACGCTCGCTGTCTGCAACTGTGAGATTTCCCTACTGGGATGATAAATAAGGGGAATAAAGGAGCTGGGTTATTTATTTTTTGCCTTTCAAACTCAGTGTTATCAGCTGGAGCAAACATTAAGGAGGGAGAAGGGCTGTTTATCTAAAGGCAACACTGACGTAAGAGGATACCAGTCATGAATAAATTTAGGCAGGAAATGGAAATCACCAAAATTCAGAGATGTGATCAGAAGTTATACAGGGAAAAAAAAAAAAATAAAAAAACCAAACCAGGAACCCTCCAAAGTAAATTCAGAGCATTAGATGAGCTGCTTGCTGATACCTCTGGACTTGTTTTTTATGTCATACACCACCAGAAAAAAAGATTCTCTTTTCCATCCACCCAATTTCTTCCTTGCTTTCCTGTATCCTTACCCTGAATTATCCCTACTGTTATAATGACCTTTCTGAGCATCTCTCAGTAGAAACCCAGAGCAGCCTCCTCTCAGCTTTTCCCAAGATCTGTGTGCAGCATGATTCCTTGCCCTGTGTGCTTCTTCCTCTCTGTGATTCACTAGGATCTGGATTCTTGGAATGGGATTTTCTTGTGAAAGTCCACGAATGGGTAGAAAGACATGGAAATTGGAATAAATTGCCACAGATTAATTGTCAATGCCAATTGGCAGAGCAGCCAAGCCAGGACAGGCCATGGAGTGTGAACCCACCTCTCATCCCTGTGGGAGTTTGCACAGGATTTTGCAGGATCAGGACTGAGGCACAGTTGCAGAGAGCTGAGTGAGAAGTGTTTGCTTCCCATCCATGCAGAAACATTTCTGGGTGTAAATACAGAATTTTCCTGCAGAATCCAGAATACCTGCACTTTCAGGTAGCCCATGGGTACAACATTTTTGTGTTTCTCCCCATAAGAAGATTTTGGAGTTAATTGCCAGCTCAGGGCAAATGGCTGGATGATACATAACATTTATAAAATCATGTGGGATAAATCTGTCTCCACCACATAAGGCTGAGCATACTCCTTGCAAAATCTGCACCAGTCTTGAACCAGTATTTTGGACAACTTTTTAGGCCACAGTCTAAAAATACTGACACAAAATGCCTCTCCTAACATTCATCTGTTAGCAAAAATTGTTATAAAATCCATTGTGCTCCTGTGGGCTTGGTTGGATTGGGTTAGGTTGGTTTGAGTTAAATTTGTGCTTTGAACTTGCAGGATAAAGCTTGACTTGGGAAACCTGGTACTAACTAATATAGTCAGGATTTTATACACAATTCACTGAAGGCCGTGTGTGTAATGGATGTGGCCTTGAGATCGTTCAGATTTGAGCAAACAATTTGCTGAATGCTCTCACTGCTACTCTGGTTTAGAACAGGGCAAACCCAAAGCAATAAAAGTGTTTCCTTAGAAGAGGAAGTGCCACACTCAGTTCCTTCAGGGAATGAAAGGGTAAAGACATCCTCCTTCCAGAACAGATTTAGGCCTATAAAATCCAAATGAATAGAAACCTTTCCCAGCATTTCTACCAAAGTCCTCAATTTGATATTGCCCGCTGCAGTAAGAAGACTTTAAATTATGTTTGGTGCTCTAGCCACACAAAAATACATTAAGCTCTCCACCAGTAAATGTGTCAATGCTTCAATAAAGTAGGAACTTCAACACAGGAAAATGTGTATGTAATAAAAAAACCCTTTTAAATAGGCTTTACAGCATTTTTACTTAATTTTACCTAGTTTGGGACACTTCAGGTGTGGTGTTAACTCTCCACCATTTTAAACTCAAAGAGAATTGCATTGCTACAGATTTCAACATGAAAAAAACACCCTGAAAAATTAATTTATTGAGCATTTATATGGACCACAATGTCTGAGAATGTGGCTGTAATCATTGCAAGGCCAGTGCACCCAAAATTAAAAATATATGTGATGAGCATCATTGAGTGATGGTTTGAGCCAGCACTGGGTGATGTTTGCAGAGTGATGAGCAGTCCTTGGTCCTCCTTTATGGATAAACTCTCTCCTGGGGGAAAGAGAAGTCTTGCTGCTTGGGTGAAAAAATCAACCCATTTTCATTAGGCAGAAAACCTGAGCTGACAAGCAGGGCTGGTTGTTTTTATCACTAAATGGAGCAGGTTTAAATGATTTTAAACCCAGAACCTGCACAAGGCCCCTTGTTCCACACCAAGGAAGCTCAGCACAGGTGGCTTTGTCAACATCCCTCACTCCTTCTCCTCTTCCCAGGTGTCCCAAACCTGTAAGATTTGTTTCTAGGCACAAGGAATGAAGGAATGAATACAGCCTCAAAGCCTGAAGGAGATACAAGCCCACAAGAATACAAACAGAGAATTAGTCCCATTTCCTTGTAGTCCATGTGTCAGATCAAATAATAATACAAAAGATCCTTCAAGAGACATACCCAATTCTACCAATTAAGCAGAGATTAGAAAAGAAAAACAAATTAAAGGAAGGCAATTTTAACATGACATCAACACAAAAAATAGCCTACCAATAAAATAGGGCAAACAAAATACAAATTCCAAATTTATACCACTGACACACGACATAATTAAAGACTTGAGACAAACAATTAAAGAGAGCAGCATAAGCTCTCTCTACTTCAAGCAACAATTAAAAACCACTTTTAGTAATTATGATCTAGTACCATATGACAGCAAATATACCACCACAATCTTAACAGGTTCACAATACATACTATAAGAAGTAAATAAAGGACTCTCACCAAATTAATAGAGACCTATACTAAAGCTCAAGTCTCATGGAGAATCCTTAGACAGAACTCATCCAAAAGTGGATTCTTGTGGGATTTTCCAGTAAGAAACAAAACACTGCAGGGAATTTTCTAGAGGGGTGTAATGGCCACGCACAGACACAACATTCTGCTCAAGGTACCACGAGGACACCAAACCCACTCCCTCCCTCTCTCTCATAAAGTATTTATGTAGCTTTTTAATTGTAATTATAGGCAATTGAATCATCCTCTTGGCTTAAATGGATTAAAAACAGGCATCTGCTTGAGTGTGTTAATCAGCTGGGGCTTTAAGCACTTGGATGTGGAGGTGATGAGGCTCAGAGGACTCTCTGGAGCCACCCACTCGGACTTCTTCAATAATTCTCCAATTCATCTTCCCCAGTATTGTTTTTGACTCACTCAGGTTATATTCTGTCTCACAAATTGGTCATTTCTGATAAAAAACTCGCTGCATGTGACTTTGTTACATCTGCAAATTGTTCATCGTGTGTGAAAAATTGCACCATTTTGCAGTCTGGATTTGCCTTCATTTTTTTTTCAGGTTTTGCTTTATTTGGTTTAGTTTTGTTTTGTTTTCCTGCCAGACTCAAGAGGCCTCCTCAGAAGTTTCAGTTTTTCTCACTGAGTTCCTCAGGTTTAGTGCCCTTCCCTCTTGGCATTCCCACAATTTATCTTCCCCTTTCCTTCTCTCCCTGGGGAACATCCTGCAAAAAAACAACAGTCAAAAAAACAAATGTGGTAGAAGGATTGAACTAAACACTTCAATAGTTGTTTTATTTCATTTTTTGTGGGTTTAAGGATAGGTTTTGATATAGTTTTATTACTGTCATATCTGGATGACATAATAATGATGAACCACTTACATTTCCAGCCCGGCTGAAGACAAAGCCAACAGTTTCCTGTAAACAAAGATCAGATTCTACAGATTAAATTCAGGCTGAATTTATTCTGAGCTCTGCAAGTTTGCCCTTGCTGGAGTTTCAGCCAAAGGAGATCACATCATTTATCTTTTCCCTTTTGTATTATACCAGTAAAACAAAAAATTCCAACACAAAAATTATTCTTTGCAAAGGAGAGTAGGAGTTCAGCAGTTGAGAATTTACATGCATATCTCACATTTTCAGAAGGAAAAATTGGTGGCTTTTTACTTTAATTCCCTCAGGACAAACTGATAACAGCTACAGGCCCCTAAATGAATTTTATTTATGGATGTTGAAGACAGATGCATTTTCATTTCCAGCAGTGAGGCTACTCAGATCCATGTGGGAGCACCACGATATGCAGGCTGAAGGAGAAATGAAAGAGTAGAAGGTTTTTTTATGCACTTGTGTTAAAGCAAAACAAATATTAGAGAGCCAGTTGTTTCCTTGGGTGATATCTGATGATCACTGCTACAATCTAAGGTTTACAGAAAAACAGAGCGGTAAAAAACAAAAACAAAAACAAAAA